CATACACCGAAGAAAATTGATCCAAATTGAACATTTGAAGACAAATTTTTAGAGTGGTGGTGGCTGAGTTTGCAGAGATGCTTGTTGTTATTTGCTAACTTTCAGAAGGTGCGTGTTTAAACCCGGTTAGAGGCAATATGTCAAAATGATAATAGAAATTATTGTTTTGTATCTCCGAATTCGTAGTGTAGAACTTAAGCACATTCAACAAAAAAATCGGCAGCGTTTGCCTTAAAAATATTTGGTCGTACGAGTATTATCGATACTTTTTTGCGAATATGAGTACTGGCATCGGTTCTTCTTTGAACTATTCTAAATGAGTTCTAGTAACGGTACTTTTCTAAAAAGTGTATTAACTCAAAATGTTTCATGTGTTCCAAAAAATCGATTTCCAAGCTCATGTTCGTCATATAAGGAAGGAAGGTTTTTCTAAGAAATTATCACACAATATTACCTAAGCTTTTGCTGTAAGTTAAGTATACTATATTATAGCCTTTAAATAGTTTTAGCGAATAATATTTTATAATTTCGATTTTTGAATTAATACACTTTTGAGGAACTTGGGCTACATGCAGATAACCGCACTCACTGCGACCGATAGGTATGTAGATGCATACATATAAATACGTATGAGGCATTCTTCGTCGACTGAAGCTCCCTCTCTCAAAATTTGTTAAGTAAAAGAAGTCGATTATAGTCTTCAAAATTCGGTAAAAATTTTTACTTCGAAATGCAATACGCTGGACAAATTAAAAAAAAAAAAGAAAATTAGATTCACTTGAAATTTGTTACTCTGTGGTTTTTGGGGTCGCTGATTACGATATCTATGATCATCAAATTTTAAAATTCAAGATGACGGATAAATTTGTGAAAATTCATACATACTTCAAAATTGTTTCTTACAAAAAATCGTTACAATTTTTGAAAATTCGCTTAAAGTGTTTCGCATGTGTTTAAATTTTAAACATTCTGAAGGCCAGATCTAATATAGCGAGCTCAAAAACTGTTTTAAAATATCTCCGCTATATCTAATATGCCATTTTGAATTTTAAAATGTATGGTCAGATTCATAATCAGCGATACCAAAAGTTTCCGAGTAACAAGTTTCAAGTGAATCCAGCAAAATTTTAGTCCGCCATTTTGGATCCCATACCTTGAAGAATTTTAAAAAATGCCACTCTTCCTTTAAAAGTTAAAATTTGTATCGAATCTTCTGGAATTAAAGCGATCGGATTTTCCCCAAAAACCAATTTTTTTTTAAAGAGAAGGGAGCTTCAGTTGATGAAGAATGCCCCATACATATCGCACACCTTCTTCAAAAGAGGCACAACTCAAATATCAGAACCGGAAATATAACTGCTTGTGGATCGAACAGATTCAAAGCAATTGACACAAAACCCAATATGAGAGTAGTTTTCTAGTTAGAGAATATAATCATGAAAAAAAAATATTTGCATTAATTTGAGCAAAATCCTTCAAATGATTTATGCCGTAAACTCGATTAAAAGTTTTTTTTGAGTTGTGCCTCTATTGAAGGAGGTGTGCGATATAAATCACGAAAATATACTCAATATTAGAAAATTTCTACTCGCAAATATTTTTTTATTATACGTTGATGAGTGGAAATCGTTTTATGAAACATCGAATGCTAGAAAGCTAAGAGCAAAACAAGGAAATGCTCATATAATTTCTGCTTGCGAGCGAAGCCGGCGCGGCGCGGCGCTTTCATTCACAAGAGTTCAGTGTTACTTTGGCCGATTGCTTGCATATAAATATACATTAGTACATACATACACACATAAATGCAAATACTTTTTTATATAAACGAATAATTTCAATATCAGCTGATTAAAATAAATACATAAATGTATATACATGTTTTGTGATTTCGCTTCTGATTAACGAGTTGCTGCCGCCAATTAAAGCCAATGAAAAGGCATACGCATTGCAGCCCGCATGAATTTTGTGCATTCCACGCGAGTCAATTGTGATATAAAATGGGATTTGATGAGAATACGTTAAAAAGTGTTTAGGAGCGAGTGACAGTGATCGAAATTATATACATACATTAATTTGTATATACAAATATTAAATACAGTGATTTACGAAATAAGTTTCATGAAATTACTTGTTAGTGTTTTTTTAAATTGGCATTTTTTCTGAGTCTACACTAATTTGTATTTATGTCTATTTACATATTTGCAACTGGATCGGTTATATGGCCAATACGTGCATATACATATTAGGGATGTTACGAATATTTGCATTGCCATTCGTTATGCGAATGATTCGCAACATTTTCATCAAATGATACGAATGTTTTGCGAATGCGAATGTGTGCATGGGCAGAGAGTCCACTCTAATATTTTTTAAATGGCTTTAAGTCTGTCTAAACAGGGTGCACACAATAATCGACTTTTAGCTTCAGGCGCTAAACGGCTAAGTAGTATTGATATCAAGCAACACTGATGGGCCTTCAACAAGTACTGCTAAAAATCTTATAAGCAGGGATCAGTTTTTTAGGACCTAAAAATTAAAAAAAAAGGCTAAATAAAATAACGAAATAGCCTGGAAAAGGCAAAATAAAATAGCTATAAAGGCAGGATAAGGCACTAGAAATAGCAAAAAAGGCAAAAGAAGGCATTAAAGAAGGCGAAAACTGTAAAATAACACTGGTTTACAAGAAAAATGTTCAACGGACGCCGTTGTCATATGACCATTTTTTACTTGTTTATTTATGCATCGATTTTTTTTTATTATCAACTTGATTGTTTTTTTTAATAGAACAGGCTTTAACACAGACTTGAATGTGCTAAACGTGCACTCGACGTGACTTGATACAAGTGGCGCCCAATTTAAATACGAACTCCGTAAATTCGCTTTCGCGAATGTGAAATATATGGCATTCGAAACATCTCTAATACATATATATGTGCATACATACATATATAGTTGGTTGTGTATACTTGTGCTAGTGTCTAGTTTCTGTGACAGCCAATGCAGCACTCAAAGTTTACTGAGTGACATTTGACGTGTTGACGCTAGCCAACTCTTCAGACTGCATTAAGCTATTTTTTTATTTTTTGCTTTTGTTTACTTTTTTAATATTTATGTATGTAGTTTAATTAGGTTTTCTTTGCTTTTATGTGCCACTGTACGTATTCCAGTAGAAATTCAAAATCCTAAAGGTATGTATCGAAGTGTTAGTGTTATTTCTATTATTATTTTATAATATCTTACAGCCGGTTTCACGGTTTAAATTAAAAAATACTAACAAAAAATCAAAAAGAATATGGCTGAATTTTTGAACTCTGGCATTGAAAGACCTATTTTTTTTTTTTGATAAATACTTGTTGATTTTTATGTTCTAAACGAAGGAGGACATCTCACTAGTTGTATTGATTGCCGGACATAGTTCCGATTAAGGAAAAATTACACAACGTCGAAACCAGTTTTTCTCCAAACCATGTTTGCCATTGGGTGTCGGAAAAACATTTCGCAATACTTAAAAAAAAGAGAAATGTCCACTGCTGTAATCACTATCCCAGCGTCACAATAGCCTTTAAGAAAGTGTGCTGCATAATCTCTTCTAATCCGCTTGTCGATCACTTCATATACGCAGATGACGTTTTGGTGTTTACTAAAATAACAGATCGGAACAAAGTCAAAAACTAATTCCTATAAACTTTACTTGATATTAATGTATGGTCTCAAAGTTCTGGCGCCAAAATTTCAGCAAGAAAATTCCCCATTCTAATACTTTAAAGATATGAGGCAAATATTAATAAGACTCTCACATACAAAGAACACTGTACATCCCTTTAGTTAAGCTTATTCTCTAGACTTAAGATTATAGAATTTTTACCTTCCAAACATTGTTTGGGTCATACGAATTCACTTGTAAATGTTACAAAAGCCTTATTGCTATCAAAAAATAGATTATGGACTTTCGATATACGGATATTGAGCTAGGACCCATTATTAAGCTGCTCCATGCTCCATACCACATCGCAGCTAAAAGAAGTATTCGTACTTTCCCAACAAAAGTGGCGGATTACCTGATATTTCCTCTAGAACTACACGTAACACTATGATGCTAATTCCAAAGTTGTTTCACGTCAGAAATGAGTTATTGCTTGCAACAGTTAAGACCGCCACTGAAAAATAGCAATAGCAATTCCATTATTGATTGAAACAGCAATATGCCCGACGTGTTCTTCGCTCAAAGTAAAACAAAGAAAACCCAAACCCTATTCGAACTCACTGATAGCATCTGCGAAGATTTCACGAAAATTCGAACTACGACGGATTCAGTGATAGCCCTTTTTTATGTAGCGATACTAAATCAGCCATCGAAGCTGGCGTTAGAGGTATCGTCAAGTCGAGGTATTTTCCGGCGGCCGCTTTGTTTGATTGGTAAGAGATGCATACTACCACTTCGCAAGACCTGGGTCCGTTGCCTAGTACAATCACCATCTATACAGCTGTCGCAACCTCGGCAGGCATTGGCAAACCTCAGAGTAAATTTTCAGCATGAAAATGCTTCTCATAAAATCAATTTGTCGCTCGGCATAAAACTGTAAGTCCCTCCATTTCTGTAGCATACAAAGACGAGCACCACAAATTAGAGGAGAAACTTGGCAAAACACTTAGAAAAAGTGTAAGCGTCAAAATAAAATTATTATAATTCTTATAATTATTTTAAATGGGTCGAGTTGACGCAAATTTTAACATTTGTCCGAAATATTTTGGCGATAGGCTTTTAATATAATACAATTTTTAAATGCCAGTGGAATAAAGCGGCTTTTTTGAGTGAGGCACCCTAACGTATTCATTATTATATATTTAAAAATTCTAAAAATTGAACGCGGTGCAGCTATTCTAATGAAAGGTTTTATATAAAAATCACTTTATCCTTAGCATTAAAAGCAAATATTAAAACAACACCTTAATTTGAGTATTTCTTACATAACAACCCTTTATCCTTTCGCTTCAGTGAAATGAATTCAAAACGTTTTGAGTATACCACACCACAGTCCCTTCACTCAATTCAAGGCTCAAGACATTATTCAACAGAGCAAGAGGAGCCACTTGCACAATTTAAAAATACCGAAGAAAAATTACAACAGCTGAAGCAAGCGATGGATAATTTAGAAGATGGAGTTTGCGATGACGAGGACGCGCATTTGCTCGAAAATAATCAGCGCTCACAATTTAAGCAACATCAAGGCAAAGAACTTAAACAAAAGCTCAAAGATAATGTTGGACAAGAACAACAAGAAGAATTTGGAGGTCTAGAGCTTGAGATGACTGCTGCACATGACGTCTTATGTAGGTACTTTTTACAACATAAGTATTTAATATAGAAATTTTTCGATAGCTGGTAAATACTCATTTGGGAACATTCTATATTCTAGAATATAGATTTTTACGCTGTAGAATAAACTGGCTTCACTTTCGTCAAACAGTCAGAGAATGCACGAGGCAACGATTTATTTTTTATGTAGCTCGAGAAGTGGCTTATGTACGTATATAGCTAATTAGCCACGATCATGGGTACATGAACCTATGGAGAACTACCGTATACCAGATTTTGTCTGTAAATACTTACCTTTTTGAGTTTTAGGTAAAACTATGTTCACATATCAATATTACCTCAATCAAAGCTCGTTTTTTAATCGCCCCGTTCACACAGGCAAATCTCAGATTATTAGCCGTCAAATTTGTTGTGCTTGTTATTCTCACATCTCAAGGAAAAGTTTTTTTTTCTCTGTGCCACCGTGATCACGTTTTTCTGCTATATTGAGCAATATAGATATATTTTAACTTAACATTTTATTAAAAAAATACCTTGAGAACCCTCTTTTCCTTGCCAGCGTCCATTTTTGTTTACTTTTACATTTGCTATTTCTCCTCTTCTTCACAAAAACAATCGATAAAACTAGGATGGACACCGAAAAGTTATCGGTTAAATCTGAGATTATTTTATAATTACAGATTAACAAGGGAGGAATTTTATATGGCTAATCTGATTTTCTAATTACAGATTAGGAAGTTAAGCTCGAAAATGAAGATAATCTACTTATATGTGAACCTAGTATAACGCATGGAAAATCCGATTAATCGCAGGAAAATTGCATTAACCGATGTTTTAAAGTCTTCATTGAGAAAGGAGGAATACAATCAAATTATGAAAAACTTAAAATTTTTCGCAGTGAATCCATTATTTTGAATGCTTTAGGATTCGTGACAAGACTTGATTTGCGAGCTCCTGAGGCTTAGGTTTTAGAATTTTCCTTACCTTGATTACAAGGGTTATCAAATTTATTCAAACTTGGTGTCTGCAATAATTCTTTAGCAAAAAATACGTTTATGATACAATTTTGGAAAATGGGCGTGTCACCACTCACTTATGACGAGGTATATATATCTCGGTAACCGTTCTACCAATTTGTAACAAACTCGGTATGGTTATTGTGCTTGCCACATAAAAGAAAAATGTTGAAAATTATTGAAATCGGACTAAAATCACTCCCACTTTTCATATAACGGTAAATTTCAGAAGTATTTGAAACTTCGATATTTCGAAATTTAAGGTCACAAATTTACTCAAAATTGAAACTAATAACAATCCGAACTTATACTTTTTTACTTGTTTTCCTTCATATTCGATGCTCATTAGCCTACATAAATTAGGTACCGTGAACAAACATATGTATTAGGGTGATCCAAAATAACTAATCTAACGAATTTGTGGCCTTAAACGGATTTATTTTCACAGAAGAAAATTCTCTAATTTGGAAAAATTTGTATTCCAATTTTAAAAGGTGTCGGTGGCTATTAGAAATTTTCCATGTAAAAAAAATTGTTTTCACTAAAAATGTTAAAGTTTTGAGTTGTTTGAGATACAAAGTTTTTCTATGTATATTCTGGAAGGGCATTCAATTTTCTAAAAAACTACCCTAAACTTGATTGTCTTGGAGACGATTAAGAGTACTAAATATGTATATTAATCATATTGCTGAACGAGGTATAGCGTTGATACAAAACCTAGTTCAAAACCTAGATCAAAATCAACATTTTCTACACATTTTGTATCATTTCAATGTACCATTTTTTTATTTAGCATTAATATTTCCAATCATGTCAAGTAAGTATATACATTATCGAGTTTAGACAATCAATTTAAAATTATTTTTTAGAGAATTTAATGCCCTAGAAGAATATGTCTTAAAACAATTTTAATCTCAAACAGTTCAATAGTTATAGTATTTTTAATGAAGACAATTTTTTTTACGTGGAAAATTTCAATTGCCCAATATGTATGTATGTACATTAGACCGTACCAGAAAGAAAGTTCGCTGTACACCCCTGAATGTAAAGTATTTCTGAAGGGCAATTTCGATAAAAATTGCTCTTTTTGTCCGTACCTATTGTAATGGTCGTATTTTTAAATGTTGTGTCATCTCTTCGACATTTACATTCGGATCCTATCAGTAATTAAATTTAGCTTAAAATCTATAAACGTTTGCAAAGGAAGTAGTAACTCGATTATTCGAGTATAACTATTTAAAAAAAAATTTACTTTATATAGATGTCACCGGAAAAAATAAGCCTTCTTTAGCTTCGGTAAAAAAAATGTTCTACAAAATTGCTTTGTAAAATTATTAGAGGTGCACTGCAACATTTTTTTGTTTGCTTGTAAGCTGGTACGGTCTAATGTACATACATTTGCATAATATGTACTTACAAAAGCAATGTCAACTAACTGAGGGCAGTTCTGTGTGAAACTGTGGCGAAAAAATCCATTCATGTTAAATAATGCGAAACGCATGAAAACTGGCATTCAACAAATTGTATGGAACATTCTAAAAAAAAATCGAGAAGGAAAATATATTTGCAAAAAAATAGGGAAAACGTGCATTTCAAGCGAACGGGAAGTGGGAAAATTGTGCAAAAAACTACTGGAGTTCGAAAATATTTTTCACATTTGCGAGCTAAACAAAAGCATATTTGGCTTTCAGACGTTTCTTGGCTTTGCGTGGCTGTGTGCGCACCATAAAACTCAAGTGTAAATTGTGGCAGGAACGAATTGCCTTTGGAAGCAAATATAAGCAGCAGTCGCACAGATGCAAACTGCATATTCACACTTGCACATGCACATATGTATGTATGTATGTGCGAATGCATATATTTCTGAGCAAATACTCTTATGCCAACAAAATGGCTTATAAACAGTTGCAACTAAATCCACAACTCCTTATTCTATTGCTTGCACTTCCGTACGATTGCTTTGGCGGTCGTCATGGCGTCAGCATGAAGATGCAATCACAGTCAATTCACGCGCACAAACATATTAACGTGCATACATATGTACATCTATATATTTGCACCACTACTTAAACAGGTGTTTTCACCGCTTTAACATTGTGTATGCCCGGATGAGAGTGGGGAATCCTTGCCAAACAAATCTGCATCGCTGACAACATGCCTTCCTCTTCCTCAACTCGTTCGCTCGTTTAGTTGCATATCTACCGTTGCATTGGAATGTAGCTACGGCTTTCGACTTCACTTTCATCATTGTAATCGTATATCCTTACATTGCTTGTCTGTTGGAAGTTAACACGCATTTGCTCTAGCCACTATACCGCCCATTCTCTCTCTTTATCTCTGAATACTTGAGAGGCAGCTGCTTAGGCTTCACACGCCAAAATAATTATTGTGCTATGTAAAAGTAAGCACTGCTCGACACACATTGTGTTCGTTGCATTAGATGCTGTCAGTTGTGGCAGTCAGTAAAGGGTTAAAACTTTTGCCTTTCTGCCACTCTTGCCATGACGGCAGCATACAAAGATGTTTATATGTAAACGGAATGCCGTAGGGCGAAAAGGGCTGGGTAGGTTATGTGTGTGTTGCAAATTCTTAGCAGAACATACTACTTATGTATATATGTTTATTAGGGTGGTCCAAAAAAAAGGTTAACATGTTAAGCTCTCACCCCTAGGAGTATTCTGAATGGAAAAAAGTATACCCGTATTTTTGTTTTTGTTAAAAAAAAGATAGATATTTAGCCCATGAAGGTTTTCATGCATTCTGTATGGGGAAAAACACTTCTTCGTAAAATGGTATAGTATTTTTGAAAACTAATATTTTTCTATCATAAGGCTCTGTTTCTCTTCAGGAGACTTCCATTCATAATACCCAGTCATAATACCCAGTCAAATAAACAACTAGGTATTATTATTGGAAGTCTCCCGAAGATAAACGGAGTTTTCCGATCGAAAAATATTAATTTTAAAGAATTCTATACTTTTCCTTTGAGGAATTTATAAATATCTTATTTTTATTTTTTTAAATACAGAGTTTTTTTCTTTTTCCATTTAGAAAAATTGTAGGGGGTGATAACTTAATATTTTAAACTTTTTTGTATACCGCATGTATTCTCGATCACCCTATTGTACTTACATGCCGCTACCTAGTAGCAGAAAGTCCCTATCTGACAAGTCTCTCCTTCACTGAGTTTAAAAAAATATTATAGAAAGTCAAATTATTTTAAAATATTTTAAATTAAATACTGGATTAATTAAGCATGGCGAACCCAAATATCTAGGGATGCAAGACAATGCTCAGTAGTTGGTATATGATCATGAGCTTCTGAAAAATGGTTGGACGTTCGATGGCACCTTCTACAGACAACCTCTGATGCGATTGAAGCGAGTGAATGCGGAAAAATGGCAGTGCTCGGCCGCATATCAAACAAGTCGTCAAAAACTATCTCGATAGTATCGTATGGGAAGCCTTAACCCACCCGCCTTTTAGCCTAGACCTTGCATTGATACCTTCTTGGTCTCCAAAGACGAGCAGTTTTATTGGCGTGGAATTCGTGCATTGCCAAAAAAGTGGGAAAAATTCATAGCAAGCGATGGAGAATACTTCCAATAAAATATATTTTACCAATTTTTCACAAAAAAAGTTTAAAGTCAAGAAAAGCTAGAGCACGACTTATTCTATTGTTTTCGTGAGTTGCTGATTACGGATCTGAAATCATTAGAAATAGTGGACCCAATACGGTGCCCAAAAAATCAAAATCAATTTGATTCGCTAGATACTTTACAATGGGGAGACTCTTAAGCTCACTGATTATGAAATCAGATTTTTAAAATGCATGGATATTGAATCTACAATTTATTACGGAAAAGTAAACATTGAACTTTACGTACATGATGGCGTATGAGTATCATTCCCACCGCGTCCGGGTAACTCATACGCCATGTATGTACGTACGTACATATGCATGCGAGTTAAAAATAACGGGCTACTTCAGGCCAATG